TCCAGGGTCACAGGCTGACGCCCAACCCAAGCCCCGCGGCCGGGCTGGCGGTCACTGCTGGTCGTGGCAGGCAGCCCCTGTGCCTCCCAGCGCCCGGCACTCGCCCTGTGCATCTCAACTGCAGACGCCACGTGGACTCTGGATCTGTTTCCCCAAAAGGGCAGGTGCCCGGGACCGAGCGGAGGCCCTTGCTGAGGGGCCGGCTGAGGTGTCCCTGGTCGTCACCCAGGTGCTCTGTGGCGTCAGGAAGGGTCTGCTCAGGCCTCAGCACCCGGCCCTGGCGCACAGCGGCCCTGGCGTTGGCTGAGCGACTGCCTGATGCCAAGTCCCAACGACAGCCAGTGAGGGGACCTCCCGGCCACCCTGCCCACACTGCGGCCTCCCCGAGGGAGTCTGCTCTGGGGGACAGAGGGGCCTCAGCGTGAAGGCACACCTGCCACGGTCCCAGGTCATGTGGGCCGCCTCAGCGTGGCACACGCTGCCACAGTCCTGGGCCACGTGGGCCTCAGCGTGAAGACACACCTGCCACGATCCCAGGCCACGTGGGCCTCAGCATGAAGACACGTTCCCATGGTCCCGGGCCACGCGAGCCTCAGTGTGAAGACACACCCTGGCACAGTTCCGGGCCACGTGGGCCACGGGCTCTGTGGCTGACACACGAGATTTGGGAGGAAATCGCAGAGCTGCTGACTAGAGCGCGGACGCAGACTGGGAGCGGACAGGGCCTTCATCAACGGCCCGTGATTCAGCCCGTTCTTAGTATTTGTCTTTCCTAATCATAGGGCTATGGATGGCCCGTCATGCGCGCGGTTAATTGCCCTTCATAAAGACAGCTTTTGTGTTTTTAATTAGGCAGTTAATTATTGTAACTAATAGCATCACCTTGTACCTCACAGACAGAGCCTCACCGATTGGCGCCCGGAAAGTGTGATTCACACCCAAGTTAATGGAGCCGTTGAGGGGAGAAGCGGGGGTGCCCGGGGACTAATTATTGCTGATGAGTTACGACTCGACCTTCTCAGAACAGTGAGCATCGTGTGACTGAGGTGACAGAGCCGCACATCTGCTCCCAACACGACTTCAGGAGCCGGCGAGACGACGAGATGACAGAACCCACGTCGGGACACTTCGGCCTCTGGTCCCTTCGAAATACCAACCTGCGTCCACCCCAAAACCTCTGCTTTAAAGCCCGAGGAACAGCCGGCCGACGGGGCTCAGTGGTTGAGCATCGACCTATGAACCCGGAGGTCAGGGTTCGATTCCCAGTCAGGGTTCAATTCCTAGTCAGGGCACAGGCCCGGGTTGCGGGCTCCATCCCCAGTGTGGGGCGTGCAGGAGGCAGCCGATCCATGACTCTCTCTCATCATTGATGTCTCTCTCCCGCTCTCCCTCTCCCTTCCTCTCTGAAATTAAAGAGAAGAAGGAGGAGGAGGAGGAGGAGGAGGAGGGGAAGGTGGGTGCCTACAAGCCAGGAAGAGAACTCCCACCGGAAACCACCTGCCAAGACCTTGATTTTGGACGTCCCGCCCTCCGGACTCCGGGAAACAGAATTCTGTTGTTTACGCCCCGCCTGCGTGTTCTGCTACGGCCGCCCAACCAGAGAACCAGCCCCTCAGCCCCCGGCGGGTTTGCTGCTCCAGGGCGCACGCTGGCCTGGGAGGCCTGGACGTGAGACTCCGGGAGGTCAGGAAAGCCCGAGCCGGGCCAGCGAGGGCCCCCAGGGGAGTGACTCCAAGGGATTTCAGCACCAGGGACAGGCGAGCTCTGGGATAGGCCAGGTTATCACCTCTCCCCTATCGCCCCAAATCTGGGGGGCAGGGGCCCACTGCAGGGCCCGCTGAGGCCTCGCCGCTGCCCCTCAGGAGCCCGTGGACGCGCTGTGAACTGACCTTTACCTCGTCCTGGCGGGCAGGGACAAACTCTGAGCGACAACGTCGTTGCCTGTGCAATTACGTGCATCACAGAGCGGGTCCCTTGCAAATCAGCCCGGGCCTCGCCCATCTGCTGGCTGTCGGCATCTGCCGGGCGCTCACCCGGAAATGATGGAGCCTCTGGTTAGCGTGGGGCACAGGAGAGGCCGGCGGCCACCGGGCACCTGGCTGACCTTGGCGTGGCTGCTGCCCTCTCCGCTGGCCACAGGGGCCCACAGGGGAGCTGGCAGGGGCAGGAGGGGCCCCGACAAGGCCCTCCCTCGGAGCCTACGGGATCTGTCACCCGCTGACCCGGAGGCCTCTCCTCACCGAGGCTGCCTTCACGCCCCCAGGGCCGAGTCCCACTCATCCTGCAGGGCCTGGTTCACGCGCCCCTTCCTCCAGGAAGGCCCCGACCCCACCCTGCCTGGGCAGAGCCATCGTCCTCTGCGCGGCTCTCAGCCCTGGTGCTGCGCTTGGCATCAGCAGCACGCCTATGGGATCTGTCACCCGCTGTCCCGGAGGCCCTCTCCTCACCGAGGCTGCCTTCACTTCCCCAGGGCCGAGTCCTACTCATCCTGCAGGGCCTGGTTCACGCGCCCTTTCCTCCAGGAAGGCCCCCGACCCCACCCTGCCTGGGCAGAGCCATCGTCCTCTGCGCGGCTCTCAGGCCTGGTGCTGCGCTTGGCATCAGCAGCACCTGGTCCTTCCTCTGCCTCCCACCGCTCAGGGCTCCCTCGGTGTTTCCTGAAGCCCCGCCCATCCCGGTGCCGGGCACAGGTGCTGGGCGAGCGTCAGAGCCCTGACAGCCCCTAGGCAGCCCTCGCCCACCAGCCAGTCAGTTCTCCGATGTGCACACCACCCTGGCATCGCCACAGAGGCCAAAGGAGGCTCCCGCCAGGGGGTCGGGGGCTGCAGGGATGGATACGAGGGGCTGCCAAGTGAACGGTCCAGGGGCCCCTCAGGGCAGGGCCACGGCGGGCTCAGAGCGCAGCTCACAGGTGGGAAGTGCTCCCTGGGCCACAGGGAAGCTTGAGTTTCGAGGGCCCACAGGGCCTGAGGCTGCTGGGAAGCGCCTGCCCTTTCCTGCATCCGTGTGGCCTGGATGCCCCAGACACCCCCCCACCCAATGCATCGGGCACGGCAGCCAGCACCCAGCACGGCGATGCTTTACTGCCAGAGAGACGCTCCGAACTGATTCAAATTCCAGAGGAGAGGGGCCCACGAGAAAATCCGAGAACCTCCCGGGCACCCAGGGAACCTGGGGAAGGAGCCCCACGCTCTCGGCCAA